AAAAAAAAAAGTCAGACGCAACACACATGGCACTCAGAGTGAGGAGGTCATGACTAAGCTGCTGTGAACATATGAAGGAACAGTGACAGAAAATGAAGTTACAAGGTCTAAGACTCTTTAGACTAATGGGCTTTGAAACCAGGCTGTTTTGGGCACACTAATGTCCTTCCATCAGGAGGTCAGCATGCAAGGCAAGGTTATGGAGACCCAAGAAAGCCCACATTTCTACTACCATTTCTAACCTTCATATTTTATTACAAGCAAGAAAGACAGCAAAGGTCCTCAACTATGCAACTGAAGTATTTGCATTTAAGTGGCTGTGTTCCACCATACATTCTTCTGCCAGCTATAAGTTACAGCCAGGCTCCACGCTGCAACTCTAGCAGATGACAGCTAACAAACACAGCCCCTCACAACGTTCTTTGGTTTGCAGCAGTAAAGTGATAGAGCAAAAAAAAAGGCCAGGTCACAATTCTGCTTAAGCACAGCTATTTCTGCTGCTCTGAGGAAGCCCCTGCCTAAGCTCTGTCAACACAACAGGGTTTGGAGTGTGAAGTCACCACACAGCAAGTGAAGTATAAATTCACATTACTTTGGCTCCTCCAAGTTCACTCCTCATGTTCACACCTGTAGTGACACATCTTGTCCTACCTACTGGGTGTCCGAGTACAAGTCCATTCCATTTCATCTAGGGACTTAAAAGACCTATTAATGCACCTATTTTTGTAACATGTTCATCAGTCTTAAAACTAGGCAGTGAGAAACACCCACCCACCTTTAGCATGAACAGTTTTTCAGGGACTCTAGCAAAGTGAAACAGACTCTCACTCAGGCACCTAATACATGGAGTAGGATCTGGCCCTTAGTGTGCAGTGCCTGCAACATAACTTACTCCACTTCACCCTTACAACAGCTTTCTTAAGAAAATGAGCCCTTGGGTAGGGCCAGTTCTAAATGGAGACCGTTAATATGCTGTAACCAAAGCAGAGCGCCAGCATTTTGTCCTTGGCAGGGGCAGGTGCTGGCATGCGGATGCCCTCCTGTACCCAGTTCCTAGCTGTGGTATATATGACACCCTTAGCTGTAATATCAGGGCAACTGGTCCTGCTGCCTCCTTGCTGCATGGTAAGACAATCCAGAATCCTTGGTGCAAAGTTCTCTGGGTAACCAATCTCCATCCCCCCCCCCCCCCCCCGCTAAGCTTTCAAGTTGGGGGGGGGAGGGGGAGGGGGAAGAGGGTGCATGGAGAAAAGAAACAGGTCTGCCTATTCTTCCCTGAGTGCACCAAATCCTGGTTAGGCACCAGCAAAGGTATGGGTGCACTGACTCAGTTGACATGCAGTGGAGGTGAGATTGTGGGAGAAGGGGGTGCAAAAACGGTAAGCTTTGTTAGCTATACTCCAAAATGTGTCAGGCACCTCAGTGCAAGTCCACACCTGGATCAGACAAGGGTCACAAAACACACAGGCAACTTGTGGGATGAGGGCCAGCTCCTACAATGAGTGCTGATCCTGACATTTGTTCCTTGCAGTGATACCCCTAGAAGGGACCTTAAGGGCCATTTAGTCTACATCTGCACCTGCATCTCCCTTATTAACCTTAGTACTTTATGATCCTTCAGTACCTTATTGTATGAACTATGGTTTACGCCACTTTTTTTCCCAGGCCAACAGTATACAAAGCTGTGACGAGGAAAAGTATGAGCACATACTAGGATGAATCATGGGAGATGCTGTGAACACTAGTAACACTCTGTACCAACACAGGTGTGATCTCCTTCAGTTCGCACTTAATACAAGAGGGAGAGCAACTGTGCACCAAATGGGTTTAACTGGCGTCAAGGCCAGCTGATATCTGTTTAGGTTGGTGTCAGCCTGGGTAAAGCCAGGGCTACAACACAGCTGC